GAAGGGCATGCCTGGCGAAGCCGCACAAACATCTGAGCAGACACACAGCACACACCCTGTCCTCCTCCAACCCCCTCCGGGGAGCTCAGGGTGCAGAGAGACGCTGCCTTACCTCTAGGTTTGTAAGAAAATGACTCCCTGTTCACCTTCTCTAAACGGATTTTGTCCCCTTTCCAATTAGATTTACAAATGGAGGACAAAAGAATATTTATTTTTTTAGAGGACCTATTTGCTGAAGAATTTTTAAATAGAAATATACAAATTCATAGGGTAAGTAGGAAGCGAGAGTGAATTCTAGGGACTATAGAAATTCAACAACTTGAATAATCAACCTGTTGTGCAGCCTTTTGCTTAGGAGGCCTGTGGCTAAAGCTAGACCCTGAGGGATGCTGGCAGCTTATAGATGAACCCCAGTGAACTTTCCTCCTTACCATGCTGAAGCCTCTGCCCCGGCAGGAGCTGTAGCTTTATTTCCATAACATGCAACCCGTGCTCCAGCAGGATGAACGAACTGCACGCGCAAGGGGAACTCCTCCCCTACGTGTGAGGACACATCTTTTTCTTCCTCTACTGCCCCATAAAAACCCCCTGCCACTTTCCCTTGGGCAGACACTGCTTCGGAGAATATTCCCAGTGCTCTCCGTACTTGCCGTGAGTAATAAAAAACTACTTATCAAGATCTCTGTTCTCGTGGAGAGTCATATTTTACTGGCCAGGTGAATGAACTCCGATTTTTCAAGTAACAATAGTATTTCTAACGTATTAGGTTTATAAGAGACGTCATTTTAATCCTAGTCCTTCCCTCTGCACGGTCTCTGGAGGGCAGAAGCAGAACAAAGAGAGTGCAAATCCAGGAGAAAGGATTAAACTGAAATGAGGCAGGAATATGCACCAATAGCGACAGCTGCCCACTGGTGGAATGAGCTGCCCTATGAGGTCGGCAAGGGTTGCTGAGGCTGGAGAGTAGTGTCCCAACCTTTTAGTTATAATGGCCGTTTGTTTTTAAAATGTGTGGCTCTTTAAATATGTCATTGAATACATGCATGACAAAAAGCTACTTTAAACTAAGCGACATTTTTAAATAACATTTCATTGACTTGCGATGCCATCCACACCCATTTGCTGTGAGAGACATATTTATTCAGTCCAAACACAATGCTGGATGTATATGTGGATTTGAGGGTCCTTTGCAATCAAAAGAGGGTTTGTGGTCCACAGATGTATAATAAATTCATGCACGGAGTAAGCAAAGGTTGAACTTGATATACTTCCAGCCCCACAACTATATAAATTTAGTCACTCATATATTACACAATTATGTGCCAGATGCGTAATCTATGGTGTTAAGGGCCCGGGTGGTGCAGTGTGTGTGCGTCCGGGAGCCTTGCTCAGTCTTTCTCTAGTTTAGCTCCTGGGCCTTCCTCTGGCCCAGCCGCTCTGCTTCCTGCCTCTCTGTTCTCTTTGATGCAGGATCTTGAAGTCTCTCTGGTGTCATCTCCCAGAGTAGTGTCCCTACCCTCTCCCCAATCCCTGGGGCTAGTTGTAGGACAGTCTCTGTGACTGCAGCTTCCCACCTTGCTATGAAGCCCCAGGAAACAAATTTGGGAGACTTTTGGCTTTGCTGCTAATGGAGCAAAAGGGAGCTCCTGAGTCAACACACCAGGGAGGAAATTAGGTTCCACAATCGGAAAGTCCTGGTAGTCATGGACTCGTGGTTAACACATAATTCCTGTGACTCCCTCAGAGAGCTACTTTTGGCTTCAAGCCTCTGCCTCAGCACCCCAAAGACTGGGATTATCAAACCTCCCACCTCTTCTGATTCTTCCCAAGAGCAGATGGCCCAGTGGGGAGGGGGCATTCTGAGGACCTCTCTAACAGGTAACAGCCAATTCCCCAAATATTTACCTCGGGAAGGAAATATGACCTGTAAAAATGGCTTTGGTAATTAACATTAAGGACATAGTGCTGGCAAACTGTGTCTCTGAAATCACAGATGATGAAAAACTGTTTGGAATCATTTCAGTGAGAATGAAACATCCCAGTTGTGAATTAGATAAAAATAAAATATGAAGCTGCCCCTGCCCCCAACTGAAAAGACCCCTCTCAGCCAAGGGGACCCCAGAAAAAGCCTTAAAACTGAGTTCCCAAAGCATTCACATACACCCTATAAAGACATACAACTATTATGTACCCATAATTAAAAAAAAAAACTGAGTTCCCAGCCACAACTTGATGGGAGGTGTAAAGTACAATTATACATGCATATTTCCTCTTCATAAATATTCATGACTTCTGTAGCTTGTTAAAAATGTATAATTACCCACCCCCCTCAGTATAAAATCCTGTTCCCTTTTACCTCTCACTTGAAACACATGTTCCTGGCTTGTGCTGGAACAGTGTTTCCCAGACAGCCAGAATGGCCACTGCGAGCTGAGAATGCTTCACAAGAAATTAAATGTCTCCTTTTTCCAAAGTATAAACCTCCTGTTTTTTTTTTTTTTTAAAACACAGTCTTGTCTATAGACTCGAAGACACAGGAACGCTTCACATCATTCCACACAGAGACAGCTTAGGCATCACTCCTACCCCAGGTATGACATTCCACCTTTATCTTAACTTTCATATTTCTAAGGAACAGGACCCTCAGTCTGTTTCTCAGCCTTGCTGTTAATACAGAATGTGATGTTTCTAATGGAACCTAAAACAATGTTTCTGCTAGGACACGATTCTCCCCAGGCCATGCAACTCTTGTGAGTGATTAACATCCCAGGCTCTGTGAACACTCTCCTGTCTCCTGAACAACAATCACTGAGATACACAATGGCTAACCTGTCTCAGCTTCAGGGCAGCACCCAAACCCCAGCTGATCCCACTTCCTCTGATCTCTCCTTAGATTCATTCAGCACAAGCCCACGCCCTAAACAAAGCTCCTTCTACTCCCTCCTCCATGGTGTGCAGTCTCCCTTGCTGCAAGTCAATCTAACTCTGACATGTGTGTGTCTCGTGGTCTTTTTCTCACAGGCTTTATCAGAATGACAGTTCGAGGCATTTCCTCCCCATGATGCCAATTTGTAGACAGATAATATATTAATTTCTATATGATTACCACATGCCAAGCACTATGGTATATAATTCATATTTTATTCATTTTTTTCAAGACAACTCTATGAAAAGGAAATCATTCCCATTTTACAGATGAGGAAACTAAGCCTCAGAGATTAAATTCAGTAGCACACTGATAATTAACAGAAAAGGTGGAATTAAATCTAAGTCTTTTCCAGTGACTTATCATCCAATCAAACATGATAAATGTTAAAGACATTTATGAAAAAGGGGATGAGGGGTTTCTGAGGGACCATCTGGGAGAGTAGGGGGAGATATCTTAATATCTTAGGTCTTACAGAGTGAGTCTAATTTTGTCATGTGAAATGGGAAAAGGGTGCTGTATAAAGACAATAGTATATGCAGAACTTGGCATTGCAATGGTATGGTGAGTTTGGAAAACAGCAAAAATCAGATATGGCTAAAATAATTGTAGTTGGCAGTATTGGCAGCATGGAGTATGAAAAGAGTAGAGACAGACTGGAGACAGGAGAGCCAGCCCATAATTGGGCAAGAGGTAATGAGGGCTTGGACTAAGGAACACTGGGAATAAAGATGAGAAGCTGGATTAAAAAAATATTTTGGAGGTAGCATAAGCAGGATTTGACAACAGATTTTTTTGTTGCAGGGTGATCCTGGACTGAATGAAGTCCAGGGTTTGAGAGATTTGGGGGGATGATGCTCCATTAAACGAGATGGCAAATACAGGTGGTAAAGCAGGTTTGGGATGTTCAGAGACAAGAGTGGGAACATAAGATGATGGTAAAAGCTGGGAGCAACACCAAATTCCCGTCAATGGGGAAACGGAATTAAAGATGAAACTGGAGGACAGAGGAGACTTAAATTTATATTATTTCATATTTCTCTCTCTCTCCTTCCTTCCCTTTCTTTCGACAGAGTCTCACTCTGTTGCCCAGGCTAGAGTGCCGTGGCATCAGCCTAGCTCAAGAAACCTCGAACTACTGGGCTCAAGTGATCCTCCTACCTCAGCCTAGGGAGTAGCTGGGACTACAGTTGCGCACCACCACACCCGGCTAATTTTTTTTTCTTTCTATTTTTAGTACCTCAAGCGAGCCTCCCCAGAGTGCTAGGATTAGCTGGAGTTCATTTCTTTAAAATAATGTATGAAACATTTTTGAGTAAGTGCTTGGCACTGCATTTGGAATATTTGCCCCCTTTTACTATCCACTCTAGGAAGCCTTTCTCTCATACCAGTCCTTAAGTTCAGAAACTTGGTTTTGTGTTTCTAGCTTGGCCACTAAGTATATGGCCCTGGGCAGTTTTTCCCCTCTGGGTCTTTTTCAGTTCTCAAATCCCGTGATTTAATAGTGTAACTGCACTTCAGCATGCTTTATTCTCACAGAGGTGGTCCCCAGGTGTGGTCTATTGGTGGAAACTCCTCCCATACAGGTGGTGTGGATGGAGGGCTAACCAAAGAACGTTTTCCAAATGGTCCTTTACATCTCTGCCTCCCACTCCACCCTAGCGCAGATAATGTATTTTTTCTCGTGGGTTTCAAGTTTGCAAGGGAATCTTGAATATTTTTTGGTAATGAGAGATGGTAGAAAATTTCGCATCCTAATTCCAGTCTAATCAACAGCGGCAACTACTATACATTCAGTAGGCGCTGTGCAGAGGAACAGTTAAACACTTCTGCCTTCCTGAGGCTTACATTTAGTGTACGGTGTACTGCATCACTACAATACAGGGCAAAGTCGGGCGGGCAATCGACCCCAGACGTCCTTTCCTAAGAAGCCTAATCTCGAGTCAGCGCTTCCGGTTCACGGCCTCCAGACTCCGCCCATCCGGTCCTGACTCCGCCCGCGAGTCTGGCGTAAAATTTCCGTGCCGCGCAGGTTGACTCGGCCAATCGAAAGCCACAGAACCTACTCGGGCTCTGTGCGGCCCTAGCCCGCGCCGCCGACGGCAATGGGGCCGGGTGGCTGTGTGGCGCGGCGGCTCGGGACGCTGTTGTGGCGCAGAGCCCTGTTCCGGGTAGAGGCTGGAACCCGGCCCCGGCTTGGGCTGCTGGCTTTGGAACGGCTTCCTGCGGGACCAGCCTTCAGCTGGGCCTGCGTGACCCCCGGCCTTGTGCGTTACCGTGGCCTGCACAGCGGGCCCCGGCTGGAGGAGCAGGCGGAGGGGACGGCCGGCGAGGGACGCCCAGAGTTGAGCGCAGCAGGTACGGGCGTGGAGAACGAAAGCGGTCTTTTCCGGGCAGCCAGGAACCGGGTCTGGGCTAAGGCGGCCCTGGGTTCCCCTCTTAATGCATTTTTTCCGAATCACAAAACTTCTGCAGATCCAGAGCTGGCAGGGACTTCAGAGGTTGTTGGCGCCAACCTTCTCGTTTCACGATTAAGAATCCCTGAGCGCAAGAGATGAACTGTTGTCTCCCAGATCCTAGCTGTCCGGACCCTTGGCACGACCGCCTCGCCGTCGTCATCCCTCCTTCACGCTCCTAGCGTCCTGGGAAATGGATTTGTCGGGAGTGTTAGGGCATGAGGATTCTGAGAGCGAGCCAGGGGCTGAGGGCTAAGGGATGGGTAAGAAACGCTAATAGGGGATGGGTCCAAGTTAAGATCCTCTAATTATTGCTAACCTTTTTAGAAACTTGAGAGATGATAAACACATCACATCTGAGAAAGTTAGAGTATGAGACAGAGAGGTCTTAGTGGACTTAGCTACTAGGTTCTTTGGAGTCAACTTTAAAACTTGAGAGCTATAAATTTACAGGCTATGTATGATACTCCAAGCAGAAGAGCAGAATATCTAAATCTCTACAGGAAAAAAAATTAGATTTTTATAGATTAACAGTTGTTAACAATCCAAATGCTTTATAAGAAAAACTTGAGGGTGAGAATCACTTAAAATTTTAGCTTCCTCATTGATTAATCGTAGGCCACGCTAATTATGCTAGGCTTGTTTCATCATCTCTCAATTGAAGGTTTTGGACCAGATAGTACCTTAGAGCCCTTCCAGCTCACTGTTCTAGTACTGTGACCCTTTATGTCCGAGATTGATTTTAACATGTCCCAGGATATTCCCTCTTCACGACTTTATGCTGCTGTTTGTATAGCCTTTCTGTGTTTGAGATGCTTGCTCATTTCAAGTACTAGTGAATAGAAAGTCATTTGTCACTGATGTGTGGTTCTGCTCACATGTGGTAATAGCAAAGGATGTATCGTGGCACTGTGTAATCTGAGCACGCTGACAATAAAAGTTGAACAGGGCTATATGATAGTGATGCCCAGGTTCAGCTTCCAGGAGGCCTGGGCCCTGCCACCTTTCCAAACATTTTGGATCTAAATACTCTCTTGGAGGAGCAGTTTCACTGTCGGCTGCCTCCATCTCTGATGCATACAACAAGTCTGTCTTCTACTTGGCCATCTGACATAAATATTTGTGCATTTCAGATCATATTGGTCTTAAGTTTGACATCGATATGATGGTTTCACTACTGAGGCAAGAGAATGCAAGAGACATTTGTGTGATCAAGGTTCCTCCAGAAATGAAATACACAGATTACTTTGTGATTGGTAGTGGAACTTCAACCCGACACTTACATGCCATGGCCTACTACATTGTGAAAATGGTAGGATGTTTTCTTTTCTCTTTTGGATCATTAAGTGAATGGAATAGTCAGTGCATCAGGCTGAGGAGGAACACTTAGAGTAAACTTATCATGTGAGGTTACATAAGAAACTCAAATTTTCAGAATTTGCATAATAACGTTTTATGTTCTTTGATAGTGAAAGGTATGGGAACTAATATCCAGCCCTACAGAGTTAGGATATTTGTATTCATGGCTCTTGTGACCACAAAGAAAAAAATAAAAAATAACTTGAGGCAAGCTAGGAGAAGACAGGGTAAGCCAGAGGGAGTTCTAGAGCAGCACTGTCTGATAGGGTAGCCACTAGCGACATGTGCCCATTTAATTATAAATTAAAGTAAAAAATTCAGTTCTACAGTTGTACTAGCCATATTTCAGGTACTCAGTAGTCCCACGTGGCTAATGGCTACCATATTAGCCATAAAACATTTCCATAATTGCAAAAACGTTCTATCGGACAGTGGTGGCCTATTGTTTAATTAAAGTGTTTGAGCATGTCCTGTGTTCCCAAGCACTGTGCTGGATATTGGGAAGGTAAAATTGAAAATGATGTAGTCCTTGTCCTGTGAATTCACAGGTCTAGTTGAGGGAAGGTGGGTCATTTTTTAATTGGACTGAGTATGAATCAGAATAAGGAAGAAGCTGTACTTGGAGGTCTCCAGCTGATTATGGTACCATTCTACAGGGCACCATAACTTCTCTTGCCCTGTTGGAAATTGATCATAAAGGAGACAGTTAAGACTAAAAGTAGATGTGTTGCCTAGAGAAGGGTTGGGAAATAAGGGGGCTGAACACAGAGTCCTGGTGCAACATGACAGAGCAGAGCAGAGGAAGATTACCAAAAAAAGTGGTAGTTGGAGAGATAGGCAGAGAACAGGAGAGAACAGAAAAGAGTTACTAGACAGGGTCTCTGTCCGATGTAATAGTGCATTGGAGTTAAGAAGATAACTTAGAAATGTCCATTAAACAGTAACTCCCATTCCCTCTTCCCCAGGCAACCACCATTCTATTTTCTGTCTCTATGAATTTGACCACTCTTCAGTACCTTGTATAAGTAGAATCATATGGTATTTCAGTATTTGTCCTTTTGTGCCTGACTTATGTCACTTAATATAATGTGTTTAAGGTTCATCCAGGTTGTAGCAAGTGCCAGTATTTTTTCCTTTTTATTTAAAGAGACAAGGTCTCGCTCTATGGCCCAGACTGGAGTGCAGTGGCGTGAGCCACTGGCTCGTGTGAGCCTCAAACTTCTGGGTTCAGGTGAGCCTGTGGTCTCAGCCCTACCCAGTAGCTGGGATTGCAGGTGTAAAACACTGTGCCTGGCTTTTTCATTCTTTAAATAAAGAATCTTATATACTATATTCTATCCATTTGTCCATTGAGGGACAGTTAGGTTGCTTTCTCCTTTTGGCTATTGTGAATAATACTGCTATAGATATGGGTGTAGAAATACTGTTTATGTGCCTACTTTTAATTCTTTTGGGTATGTACCCAGAA